CTTTCAATTTCCTGGAATTACTGCTGCTCACTGTACATGTTCCAACAGTCAAGATGAAGTGAATATCTGAATAGAAACAATATAATATTTTGACTTAATATCACAGTATTGTCCTATTAATAGCACCATATTGTATTGTTTGAATTTTAAACATTATTTCTTTTCAGTTTAAAAAATTCATTAACATTTATGAACATTTATCTTTGTTGCTTGAGCCTGTTTTTGATATAATGAGCCATAAACTTTCCCTGTCAGAGTTTTTGCTGCATATGAAGTGCAAGTAAATTTAGCAAGAATTTCTATAGTGAATATTTGTAATTCTGTTAACAAAAATATTTAAGCAACTTTTTGTTGCAGAAGCCAAATATGATCTCATGAATTTTTAGTTCTGTCTTGTCACCAAGAGTTTGTGCATGCATATTGCTTAGACATTGTTTGAACTCACAGTAATTATTTTTTTTTATCAGTGTTCACAAAGATTTCATCTTTACCCAAACCAAGTTGGAAGAAGAGGGATAGAGTCATATAAATGTGATCTAATATCTATGTCAGCAAAGGTTAATTCTTGTAATGGGTCCAATTAAGCAAAACACACCTTAGTTGGTCCTCTTCATGTCAGAATATGTAAACCCTTGGAAGAAGCCAAGATAGTACTATGTCTTCTATAATTGACTATGTGCACACCTAAACAGCTTTTATAACATGCCTGATTAATTACTGTAGCTATCACACCTTTCTGTTACTAAACTGTTTTTCTGAATTGGCTGCGTTATGCTATGAAATGTTTTCCATCAGATATTACAGACAGTGCCTATTTAATTAATATATTTTGAGATGATGTGACAAATTCTGTTATGGCAGGTGTTTGGTATCCTCAAGATGCAAAAGTTTCCATTTTAACTCCCTGTTTTCACACAGCAATTTTTAGTAGAGTGAGATTAAAATAAATTGCTTTTTCCCATTTGAAAAATGTGAGCCAAACTTTTTTAGACAGGCCTGTAGCAAAAGTAAATAAATAGAGCATTTGTTTGAAAATAATTGGTTTTCTTTAACCATTCTGAACATTTGAAAATTGCATGCCGATCATGCACATTAGTTCTTTTCAGGTTTTTAAGAGCAGTTGGACAAACACCTGTCAGAGATTGTCCAGGTATATTTGGTCCTGCCTCATTGCAGAGGGCTGAACTTGATGACCTCTCAAGAGCCCTTTCAGCCCTACATTTCTCTGATTAAGTCTGTCAGGGTGAGATCCACAAAAGTACTTCAGCACCTACGTCCTGTTTTTAGGCACCACTGTGACCCACTAAACCCCCACTCAGCTGCGGCCTAACCTGATAGGCACTGAGTGAGTTTAAGTGCCTAAGGGTGGTTTTTTGTTGTTGTTTTTCCTCTATGGACATGCGCACTGCAGCCTCTCTCTAGGTGCTGAGGTGCCAATCTCCTGCCTGAGCATGTGCACTACTGCTTCATGATAGGCATCTGGAGATATCTATCTCCCACCAAAGCCCAAGAGCAATTCACAAACTGGGAAAGATAGGCATTTGATCACCTAAGTTATATGCAGGGCGGGGAGGTGGAGGACTTTCCTTATAACCTTTAGCCTGATGGTTAGGGTACTCAGCCAGGATGTGGGAGACCCCTGATTCAAGTCATCCCTCCACCTGAGCGGGAGAAGGGATCTTAACCAGGGATCTGCCATCTCTCAGGTGAGTGCCCTAGCCATTACTCTAGAGTCATTCTAACTCTTTCTGTGGCCCAATTAATATTTAATTATTCAGTTGTTTAAAGTGGAACAACTTTAATAGGAGAAATTGAGGGAGTCCCATCTCAAAATATCCCATAGCCCAGTGGCTAGGGTATGCACCTGAGAGGTGGCAGACCCCTGTTCAAATCTCTTCTCCCCCTCAGGAGGAGGGGGAACTTGAATTGGGGATTCAAGTGGGATTGGGGAGTATCCTGTCTTTTAGGCTAAAAGTTATAAGGGAGCTGCTGCTCTTCCTCCTTCCCCCGGGTTTTGTTTCACTGCACCCATCCCCCTTCTGTTTTGTTTTGGTCCCCATCTGCAACTTAGGTGTCTGAACACCTATCTTCCCCTGGTTCATGGATCACTAGGGAAGCTAGGTGCCCCGCCTGCAGCCTGGATTTATGCATGTGTTGCCAAAAGAAGGTTTGGCACACATCCCTCTGACCAGCAAAAACACCTGTGACCAGTGTCTCCCATTGGCTAGTTTAGTCAGCACCCAGCTGGGTGGCTTTTTTGATAGCATTCTTAGGTGCCTACCTCTCCCCATTCATAGTATTAGGGTGCCGAGGTGTCGAACTTAGGCTTTGTGAATTGCAGTGTTGTTTCTATGACTCTCTATGCACCTAAAAGTTAGGTACCACGATGCTCAGCATTGCAATTCTTACGTCCCTCCATGGAGCTAAAGAGATGCATTGTGATTGCTTGTACAGGTAGTTAAGCCCAATTTTCAAAACAGGTTTTGTTGACTTCAATGTCCATGGACCACATTCAGTGAAGAATGTGGGACAATCCTCTATGGGATAAGGCTTGCATAATGACTCCTATATATGCCACAGGAAAGGGAACATAGGCAAGGCATGAACTCTGGCTGACAAAACTGTCTGTGGGGCAGTTAGTTGATCTGATGTAGAAGCAGCCTTCAGGTGCCAGATTAGCATCCACTGGTCACACAAATGTATCAGCAAAGTTAATTTAAAGCTGCTATAATGGGATATACTGATCCTTTAAGGCTGGTGAAGGAGTCCTCAACTGCCCGCACTATCCTGTCCCGGGCTATCCTTTCTTAAAGACATACCTATAAGACAAGGAATGCTATTGCTGATGAAGAGTAGCCTTTCTGGAAGAGGCATTTTGTAATTTGGAAAAGAAACCTACTGCTATCTCTGTTCAGCGCCTAAGATCTGGGTTCCAAAAGCAGTTACTTCTTGTTACAAAAGGATGCATCTTTAAGTTAAAGAGGAGCCGCTCATGTACGCAATCATTTACTGGATTAGGACTTTAGATTGTAAGCTTATTTGGTCAGGGACTCTCTCTCACTATATATGTGAATAGTGCCCAGAACAATGGGACCTGAATCTGAATTGGGACTTCTGGGCGACACTGTAATACAAATGATGATTCTAAGAGAAAATTCTATATAAAGGCGAAAGAAATCAAATTCTGCTATGGAACGTTCACGGAAGAACACCATGGAGACAGCTAGGTCAAAAAAGATAGAATTTCCTAAAAAGAATATGATTTAAGGTACTTGACATTTAAAAAAACAAAACAAAAAGGAATAATTTATAAGAAAAATTTAATATAATAAAATACTGTTTATTGTAAGGAAACTCTTTATAAGGTCAAAGTTCTGATACTTTTTTTGTTGATGTACCCCAGGAAATGCAACAATGGCTTAAGGGTTTTTTGTTTCAGTTTTCACCAAAAAGGTTAGCAGTGAACGGATGACTAACATACTGAACATCAGTGTAAGTGGTGTAGCATCTGAGGCTAAAATAGGGAAAGAACTAGCTAAGAATTATTTAGACAGGTTAGATGATTCCAATTAAGCAGAGCCTGATGAAATACAACCTAGAATACTTAAGAAACTGACTGAAGAGATCTCTGAACCATTTGTGATTATCTTTGAGAACTCATAAAGGGCAGGAGAGATCCTGATGGACTGGAAAAGGGCAAATATATGGCCTATCTATAAAAAGGGGAATAAGGCTCACCCAGGGAATTATAGACCATCAGTTTAACTTTGGTACCCAGAAAGATAATGAATAAATAATCAATTTGTAAGCATCTAGAAGTTAATAAGTAATGCCTTGGATTTGTCAAGAACAACTCATGTCAAACCAACCTAATATCCTTCTCTGACAGGGTAACAACACTTGGGGGGGGGAAGCAGTAGATGTGATATATCTTGACTTTAGTAAGGCTTTTGATGCTGTCTCACATGATCCCCTCATAAGCAAACTAGGAAAATATAGCCTAGACAAAGTTACTATAAGGTGGGTGCACAACTGCTAGAAGAGCATATCGAGTGGGGTCCCACAGGGATCTGTCCTAGGTCCAGTTCCGTTTAATGTATTCATAAATTATTTAGATAATGGCACAGAGTACAGTTATAAAGTTTGTGGATGATACCAAGTTAGGAGCATTTTGGAGGACAGGATTAGAATTCAAAATAATCTAGACAAATTGAAAAAATGGTCTGAAATACATGGGATGAAATTCAATAAGGACAAATGCAAAGTACTACACTATAACAATGCTGCAAAGAGTACTGAGGGTGTGTATATGAGAAGGGAATTATGCAAAAAGTAGCTTTTGGGCTCCAGGTTCAAACAAAAACATGTTTTCGGAAAACAAAACAAAAATACATGAATAATGTTCTTTTAAACTTAAACTCCTATGTAATTCATTGTATCTTGAATTATGGTAAATCTCCTAGGTGGATTATTCTACTGGAACTGTTTTAAACACAATTTTATTATCATTTATAAGTTGTATTAATAATTATACCATCTAAATTATTGTATGCTTAACTGCAATTCAAGTAAACAATTTATACTATAAACTATTGAAAACTTAAAATGAAATGTTAAAATATAGCAATTCTCAATATTTCCAACCCTTTAAGCATATTGAACTGTGTGTGATTGACACAAGTACACTATAATTTGTCCTATTTGTGTATATTTACACCTCCAATGTCATGTTTGATGAGATTGTGTAGTTGGCTTGTCAGAGCAAGGGATTTAGGAGTATTGAGGAACCTGGTTGAGGCACTTAATGATCCGCCTCATGACAAATTTTTTTACCTCTTTGTGTTTTAGTCAACATATCTAAATTAGGTGAAACTTCACTGAAAAATAATTTAATAGATGAGCTCTGAGCTTTCCTTTAAATAAACAATCTTCCAACCAAGCAAATATTATTTGGCTGACACAATTCTCAAATTTTCATTTCTTTTGTTTCTCTTTTTTAGTGAGCGACAGTTGCTTCAGGAACCTTGCTGAAGATCGCAGTGGGATAAACCTTAAAGATCTGGTCCAAGACCCATCTTTGTGAGTATCTGACTGCTACAGCTGAGGATAGAAAAGCTATGTTATTATATCCTGTGTGTGTGATTGTAATTAGGGACAGATTTAGATATGATGAAGCACACTTTGCTTTTGTAGCAGTCTGTATATCATGTGCTGAGTCTATAATACAGACAGATGTGACTGGAACCACATTGTGTCTTTCTCTGAGGAGACAGGAAAAAGAATGGCATCATTGATTTAACTCCCAAGGAGCACAGATAATAAATGGAACACTTTGTCAGCAGCAGGGTTATTGTTGTAAAGGAAGACACATTGTACTCATGTCCTCTTCCTTCATTTTTTTATAGGCACAAAACATCATATAACTAGATTTTAATCTCCTGATTTTGAATTTACTTCAGAGTTTTCTTTACCTTGGAAGTCTTTGTTTTCTTTATATCTGATCTGATTTTCTTCCAGCTGATTTTTTTTAAAACTCCTGTTTCTTTCAGTACTTTTTATTTATGCCAAACAAATTTTTGGCAACTTCACTTCATACTCAGAGAACAGGTCAGTTACAGTCCCTTCTTCATCCCATAACACAGACACAAACTTTGAAAGTCTAAGGCAAGAAGCCAAAGAAGCACAAAACTTACGTGGTCATCCTTTCTAATCTTTCTTGTTTAGTGGACTGTGTGTCTGTCTGTTTCTATAAATCATATTTCCCCCTTACAAGCCCTGTCACTAGGAAGTGAAGCCATGTTTAATATTGTGTCAAACATGGCTTTCCCCAGGTTCCTCCTGAAGTAATATTAAAAATGCTTTTCCCGTTGCTATAGATAAACACCCAAGTGTATCACCTGTTGTAAGAAAATGTGGTCCTCTCTCTTTCTAGCAGAGTTGATTGTTCCTTTTTATAATGGGCATTGAACATGATTGGCCCTATCAACATAAACAAGTAAAAAGTTTTCAATATTGGTTGAGAAGCAGCAGAGAAGAGGCCATGTTTGAAACCTTATTTCAACATGGAAGATTTTTAATGATAGATGCAAGCACACCAATTTGTCACATTGCTAGAACAAAAAAGCGACATCAATGTCCTGAAGTTTCAAACTGAGGGAACTAGCTCATAATGTATTTAGTGTATGATCATTCATACCACAGAAAAATATAAAGAAGAAGAGGGGAGGCGTACATTCATTGCCTGAGACGTTATTGAATGATGAGAAACGGGAGGCTACATTTTCAAACATGACTAGAGATTTTAGGTTTTGGGTGTCCAATTTGAGACAACTTCAAGGGGCCTCGTTTTCAGCTGAACTTTACTTCATGGTTTTTTTATTCTTGAGAATTGTAGCTGTTTGTAGTGAGATGCAAATGTGATTTCAAGAGCTGTACATAGTGTACAACAGTGTCTTAAGAGTTCTGTACAGCTGTAGTCCAGTTACAAAGATTCAGTCCAGAGATGGTGAATGGTGTTTGTTGTGGAGTATTGGGGTTTTTCTTTCAAAGTAATGAAATCCTCCAACTCCTTCCGTCAGCCCATAACTTGTATGAGATAGATTGTAATCTATTAATTAGTTTAAACTAGGAAAATCAAAAATAAATTGTGACTATTGTTTGTAGCATAAGTAGTAGTAAGTGGCTGCTGAGATTGATTAAAAGTTGAAGCAAGTTTGGGACATTTACTCAGCCTCAAAACCAATTACTTTTTCAAGAATAATGATAACAATAGGTATATTGTACAACAAACTGTAATACAAGAAAGAAATAGTACTTTTCTCTTCCCTCCTGATGATGTGAATGTGTTGTGCTCTCTCTTTCTATGACTTTCCTGATGGACATTCTTATGAGGTAGGGATTTAATAATGAGTAACTGTTTAAGAACAGTTCTTATAAAATGTGCAGTTGTGTGAGGGAATGGCCAGTATAGAAAACGACTGAAGTGATTTGACACGTAATGCCACATTATTGGGTCTAGTCCTTTGCCAGAGGAAACCCACCTGGCTGTTAAAGACAGCTTTTTTGTCTCCTTCTGCCACCAGAACAATGCAAAGGGGACAAAGCAGGGCCAATGATTGGGCCTACAATGTCAATAAAGGTGATATATCAGTATTTTTATGGGAGAAGAGTAAAGTTGAATTATATTCTGAGGAGCAATTGGCTGAAATTATCTTGTATAATTTTGTATAATAGTGTTTCAGTTGCTGGCTGTGCGCGTGTGTGTTCTCTCTTTGTGTGGTGCCGGCTCTGCGCAGCTAGCCAGCCTAGCAGACCTCAATCGAACTGTCCGAAGAGACCACAGATTTGGTTTAGTGGGGAAGGCACATGGCAAGATTTATTGTCAACGAAGCACGGCCCTAGCTCCCCAGATCAATGTCTACAGTTACACTAACACACGTATGCCTGTTACAGTGGACCAGCTCAGTGAGTGGTGGGACATTCCGTTACCCCTGAGGCCAGACAAAGGGTTAAGGCAAGGCATCCCAACATTTATATACTGAGACAAACAATCTGGGATAAACAACTTACGTATCACCTTACCTGTTTCATGACGTTTGTTACCTCCCCTTGTACCTTCCTCCTGATGTTTCAGACAAAGCATCACTATTCATCACTTCTGTCAAACCATCTTATCGTTTGCTAGGTTGGAGTGTTCTTGTCCTAGGCTACTGGAATGTATTTATATATTCAGTGTGTTTTAGCAATGCTAGCAATACCAGTGCCGAGTTCATGTACAGGACAGTGAACTTGCAGGCAAGTATCTGCTTTTGACAGGGCATAACTTTTGCTGACTTTGGTTCAGGCCTTGTACCACCTCGTGCTCCAGACTCTCTTACTACTACAAATAGCATGTTGTGATTCAAATAAAACAGTTTAAGAGAGCTAGAATTCAAAATAATGTAGGTTTATTAATATATATATTAATACTGATGTCTACATTCACATTATCAGCAAGTGATGTGGTCAGAGGTGGTAGAAATACAGTATTACTTTTACAGTCTGACATTAAAAATGTTTTATTGCACCAACTTCTGTTGATGAGAGATGACCTGATGAAGAGCTCTGTGTAAGCTTGAAAGCCTGTCTCCCTCACCAATAGAAACTGGTCCAATAAAATATATTACCTCACCCAGCTTGTGTCTCTAATATCCTGGGATCATCACAGCTACAACAACACTGCATATGTTATAAATGTTTCTCTTGCATCAAATCTGTATGATACAAAATCTTAATTACAAATGGCTTCTCTCTTTTGCATTAGCTTTTGTTGTTTTATATATTTTTCTCAAATATACTGGTGTCTATATAGTCTTTTGTCATGTTTAGCTTCTGTCAGAAATCTGGTGTCGTCACAGATGTTTCATTGTGTTTGCAAAGAGTTGTCAAATAGAAGCCTATTCTGCAAGGTTTTAAGTGTGATTATATGCTGAAAAGGAACACTTTAAAGATGTCATTGTAGGGTTCTATGTTTAGTATCTGAGTGACATCATATCAGTTGTGCTGAGTTACCAATAATAGATTTTCTTTTTCCTGATTGACAGCCCTGCAAACTCACTGTGGGCTCTGACAAACAAACTGTTCTTTCCTTCTCACACATCATCACCAGTAATAAGGGTTTACTGGCCAGATTAGGCCTTCAGTCACAACTGTACTTTCCCATGGTCTTTGCTCATGTCTAACTGGGGGTTTGCACTGTAACTGAATGGCCCTGTAAATGGAAGTTGGTAAAAATATTGATGGGACACAAAACAATGTAGACTCCAGCTCACTTTCTTAGCATTGCAATCAGCAGAGCTAATAGGAGTAAAAAGCAATAAAAACTTCTTTTAGTTGCTATGATTACCTAACATGGGCTAGTACTACACAAAGAGAACAAATCTAGATACTGATTCTGCCTCTGATCTAGCTCTATGCATCATTCCAATAGCGTATAGGAGCCACAGAAAGCATTGCATCACACCAGGGAAGAATTCCCCTGGTGTAGGCACATCATAGGTGGTCTTTCTGTTAGTGGTTCCACACAACCCCCTTGCAAACAATGGCATAAGGGGTGCCAGAGATGGTCTGGATGTGGGAGGGACCAGATTGGGAGCAGGCCCATAGCACACAATGCTATAGAAATTCCAGAATTCTGTTGGCTGCTGTAACCAAATGGGCTGCTGTAAGTTAGGGCAGACATAGATGTTAGCAGGATGTCCTTGCTGATACTGAAGAGGAATTTTCAGGAGTTCCTTGAGGTTCTGGAGGAAGGCAAAGAATGAAGGCTGGCCAGCTCATGTCACCCACAACTTAGGGGCATGTTGAAGAATTTTTTTTTTCCAGTTCTTTGTTCCAAACCACTAGGACAAATGGATATTAGACATCATTCAGCAGAACTACCTCTCAGAAATTTCTTCCCTTCCTACCAAATTTCTTGTCACTAAATCGCTTTGCTTTAACCCTTCGAAATGGACAGTGTCACAAGGTGCTCTGTCATTACCCAGTGTACTCCACTGCCTGGCCAGTTTGTGTGGTCTCACAATCACAAACACCCACCAGCTTGTTATCTTTCACCAAGGTGTGTATTTATTCTTTTCTTACAAAGTTACACAGTGTAATGCAGGTTTACAGCAAGGGGAGGCTTCCCCACAACCTTCATTCCTCAACCCAGGCTCACCCTCTGTGCTTTCTTCTGCAATAATCTCCGTGATCCAGGTGCTTCTGATCATGCCCTGTCACAGACAGCTATGTCAAACACTGCTCAAGATCTTCTGGACATTGGAGCCATTTCCCCACAGGATTGAGATCCTACTCATGGATCCTACTCTTGGAGACTGTTTTCTAAAGAGAGTGGGAGTACAACCAATTGCTTGGGAAGCACCTTTTCCAATACAGTAACTGTCATGATTTTGGTGATGCTAAAAGTGTGTCTGAGAAAGGAGTGATTTCATGTATTCCACTATTTAGGAAACCTCCTGATCATGTTCTAATACAGGCAAAAAGTTATTTGGATGACCCAGAGAGCAATCCAGTTGCTGCAACAGCATAGGTTGGTAATC